ATATATATATATATATTTTATGTTATTATAACGTAATGACTAATATTTAATATTATTTTATTCGGGTTAATTAAATCTTTTAGTTTGATTATTTAAATTTTAAAAATTAAAATTTTAATTCAGGAATATGTCTTTTAAGATTTAATTTAGTAGAATAGATTTATTCCTCAGCGATAATCATATTTATTTTTTGTTTAATTAATTCATAATTTTATGTTTTACTGTAACTTGTTTATTATTAGTCATTAATTACTTAAATATTAATTTAAATAAATATATAGCCAAATAATAATTACAAAATTAGCTTTATATTATTTATAATTGAAACTTTACTTTTATGCAGCCAATACACATGCTATATTAAAAGTTTGTTTACTTTCTTATATTATTAATGTAATAAAAGTTAGAATAAGTATTTACAGAAGATTACCTTATAAGTAAGCTGTAAGCTTAGCAGATTCAGAAATCTTTAGGGGGGATGTAGAAAGGAAACAGTGTGCCGCACAACATTTTCTATTACCTGAGGCACACGGCTTTACTCGAAAAATTCTCCAGAAGGGGGTGCAATTGTACCCTGTCCACCCCGGAAATTCGTCCATGCTGCCAGTGTCCATACCACTTGTCAGAGCAATCGTGTATGCAATTTTTTGTGATCTTTGTCTTAAATTAATCGTTCCTGGTTAGCGAATATCTGATCAAGAACTGAATGACAATGCTTCATAAATTTCTTCATCTTCTTTCCCAAGACTTTTGTCTGTTCCCTAAAATAAAGGGGAAGTTGGGTTTGTAGGTTTTAATCAGCAGCAGATGCGAGACGTAAGCGACCAGAGGTCATAAATTCATTACAGAAAACAACTGTTTGACTCTATGTTTAAGATGCTAAAAACCTTATTTGTTATACAGTAAAACGAAGATTATAAAACGTTACATAAATATTTATATATACAGTCAAATGTCGATATAACGTCGTCCTAAATAACGCACTCTGATAAAGCTCCAGTTAATAGTCGTAAACGAATCTTCCTCGTAAATATTAGATATCCCTCCATTATTTGCGAATCTCTAAATACAAGATTTTGTATTTTAATCGCCAAATCACACTCGTTTGTACACCCCGTTACCACACATCATTCTTGTTGTTTGGGGAACCTCGATTTAGACGACCTTCGTTACTTCGGTTTTCGCTTCACTCGATTTAACACTAATTTCCTAGGCGAATAAATGGCGGCACTGATTCAAAGTTTGACTGTAATTATGTACTGTACTTGTTAATAAATAAAACAAAAGACGGGACATTTTATTTATAACTTTAACATTATAAAATTTAATTTTTCATTTCAGCAAAGAAAAATGCAGATAAATTCGAGTAATATTGAATTTATACATAAAATACTGGAATAAATTTACTGTCTTTTTCTTGAGAAATAAAATTGTTCTCATGTACCATACTTTAATGCATGTAATTTATTCAATTGTTGATCGCTGTATCTAAGTGCAGTTGTACTCAATACGGCCAAATTATGATGATCAGATTTGACCATTAGCTATAAATTTCAATCTTACTGATTCTTGATTGGATTAATATCATATATTAAGTTATGGATGTTATATAAGTCTCGTTTTTTTCTTTTTTATTTAGAGATATTCCTAATGCTCAATTCCATAAATAAATGTACAAGATTTTCTATTTTTATTAGTTTAAAATATAAAATAAATGAAGTAAATAGTCTTTTTTATTATCTAAGTAGGTTGTAGTATAAGAAATAATTTAATTTCACTTAATTTTTTTGTGTTTTTACTTGGCTGTTGTTATATAATACTTGTTACTTGGCACCTTAATGTTCAAATTTGAGAGCAAGAAAAAAAATATTTTGATACCATTTTAAATATATCAAATTTCTCAATTATTATTCTTTAAGAAATATGTTTATATCAATTTAATTATATGTAATCCCTGTTTTAAAAAAACTGCCACTCGTGGCGTTAGTAGTCATTTAAAATAGTAGACGACTACTAGCACCACGATCGGCAGTTTAAAGCGTAGCGTAAAAGAATTATTATTTATTTTTGTGAAATAAAAAAATTAAATAAACATATATAAACGCCTAGGAATTATTTTTAAGTCATTATTTCATATTATTTAGTTTAAATAGTTTTTTTTTTAATTTTTGGGGAATTACTTAGCAAATGGTGACAGCTTGTTAACATTATTGTGCTGCCATCTGTTATTAAAAATCTTTAATATAATTATACAATATAGTTAAAAATATGAAAAATTGCATTATTTATTAATATAAAAAAACCCAAAATAATATTACTTAATCTTGTTATTATTGATTTAAGTTGGAAATTGAAATTTATTCTGATCGAAGCAATGTTATTAAGGTTTTGTTAGTTTATTACTCACTGTCAATATTTGTTCATTGATGGAACGTTTTAACGACAAATTTACTTCAACTTAATCAGAATATTGAGGTAAGGAGTAAATAGCCTTGAAGATAATATTGCCATTTCACTGCTAATAAATTTTATAAATTTCAAAAAATAATTATAAATCCGATTAAAATTTAATAATTCGAATTTCATTTCCTCAGATTAATTATTGTTAAACTGAAAATAAAATACGAAAATTATAAAAATGTAAATTAGCGAAAGACGTCAAGGAGGGGAAAAAAAAGAAATAACCAATCAGAGGCGAATGTTTAAATTTTTGAATTTTAAATTTATTTGACGCAACCAATTAGAGTTATGAAATTGACGTTTAAGCGTGTCACGTGTTTATATATTTAAATTTATTATTATTTTTTTCTGATTTGAAATTCTCATTTATACGTTTATAGATTATAATTATATAAAATAATTAATTATCAAAGAAATTTATTTAGTTTTACTTTAAAAATATCACAAATAAATAAATAAATATTAATATTTAAAATTTTTATAAATTATAATTTTTAACGTCCTCATCATCCTAACCCCCCATCGTGGTCCTGGCCAAACCCACGAAGAGCCTTCCTCTTAATGCCCGTAGGCATTAAGAAGAAAGGCCCTTTTAATGCCTACAGGTTGGAGTTTAATTACTATTTATAAAAGTATTTTTTAAGTACATAAATAGGGGCATTTTTATATTTTGTAAGGAAATTTATTTTGAAAAAAATAAATAATTTAAAATTTAAAAAAATATTTCTGATTTTATATTTTTATAGCATAGAAATAGAATTGTTTCGCAAAAGCCAAACACAGTTATATAAATAAATTCCTATTATTTTATCTAATAATTTTTCCGGTTATCAGAAGGGGGGAAACGAATTTATATCGGTTGTTATTTATTTTGCTGTATTTAAAAAAAAATAGGCAGAAATTATATTCATTTATATACGATCAAAGTACATGTATTTCTATTGTACTGTGGAGTTAGCCAGCCATCTTTGTATATGAGAACCGACCACCTGTAGTGACAACACGTGACCTTCATCTGTTTAGTTTGATGCCATAAGCTGCTGACTCACAAAATGGACTTATTCTGGTGAGTAAATGTGACTTTTTAATGTATATCTACTACAAAAATTTTTTTTTTAAACTCTTTGAAATATATTTTATTATTAGCTACAACGTTGTATATCAGTATACCTTATCGAAATTCATAACTATCGATGAAACTTTTTAAACTTTATATGGAACTTTATAATTCTGATTTTTAACGTTAAAATGCGTACAAAATTCTAGAATTTATGCTCCATTTAATTTAATTGTTCCACGCATAAAAAATAATAATAAATAAAGATTTATCGAACGTGTAGTGTTGTGTGTAGAAGTGCTTTTTGAGGGTTTTACCGGGTTTTTAGGTAGTAATTTAGTATGGCATATTGTTTCCTTTCTGGATCCGCTAGTGTCTAATTATAATTATTTTAACATAATTTATCAATTATTCTTTAGTATAAAGTTATGTAATGCTGTTAAACGTGTGTCTCATGGTTACAAATGCATGTATGTGCATAAACACGTGGAGCATTATACCTTGTTTACGTGGATGAGAATCCGTGAATAGAAATTATCTCCATATTGTGCAGTTATATTTTGTCATGCCATTCACTGTAAACTAAATAATAATAATAATATATTCCAACGTGAGAATTTATTCCTTGACGTGACTTTGTAAGTTAAAAATTCATTTTTATTGTTTATTTTTTGAAAAATAAAATTTGTATTTTCTATTCTTCTACATTTTTTTTATAATGGTATTTTTACAATAATCATTTGTTTTATTGTTCCAAAGTAATTAAATTACAATCAACAACTGGACGAAATACCACGAATAAATATAAAACGCCATTGTTTATAATACACGAGGTTATAAATAGAAACGTGTGCATATTTTTGTATTTTTATATAATTTTATTGTACAATTATATTAAAATTTATTAATTATAATTGCCGTTTTGCTGTTGGAGTGAACAGGCACTGATGAGATGGGTCCAGCTGCAGCTGTTTAGGGGGAAGGGACAGTGGGACTCCCAAAATTAATTTTTTTTTTAAATGAAGATATACGATATACAGAGGCGAGTTTATAGCTTCATGGGGTCCACAAAAATTTGAATTAGGGACTTCCAGACTTCAGTTTTGCTTCTGTGTAAGAAAAATATTTACCAAAAAATTTCAAACGATTGGTTTGGGACCCCTGTTGTTAGGGACCTCAGGCAATTAATTGCTTATTTTGCCCGTAGGATAACGCTGGCACTGACGACATAAACGTGATATAAAGAGGGATGGAGCCGCTCCCAGAGCTGAAAGAGGTGGGAAGTGATATGTAATGGAACTTCGATATAGCGTCCTCTTAAATAGTGCCGCCGTCATAATGACGCGTTATAGCTTCGTTATGCCAAGGAGAATTTGGATTAAGGGGCCTCGCATTTGACTATAGACATTTTTCTTCGGGAATTGTTTGGGGGGGAATGTTTTTTTATGGGAGATTGTTTTGGGGCCCAACGTTAGTGGGGGGTCTCAGGTAATTGCTCTTTTTGCCCATAAGATAATGAGCCATTGTAAAGTCCGATGAACGTATCTTTCCTCAGTAGAGAACACCAACTTTAACTCCCAACTCACGTGACTTTAACTCAAACTTGTGCGTGGACCTCGTTACTACGTTTAACTCTTATTTCGCATTCCTCGATTTAGCGCCAATTTCAGAGGCAAACAAATAGTGGCGCTAAATCGAAGATTTCACTGTAATTAACACGAAAGTAACTTATGCTGAAAGTAATTAATTCTTGCAACCAAGTTAATTATTATAACTATATACTAGCTTAAATTAATAATTATCCACTTCATATAATTTCATTTCGCATTGCATCTAACTCCCAAGTTAATAACTAACTTAACTTCTTACATGTTATTTAATACATAATTTAACAGTTTACTAAATTTTAAAAAATTAAATTACTAAATTAATAATAATCACTGTTAAAGCTGAATTAACTCAATTCTTAAATTAGTGCAAAAGTTAATTGTAATTACTGTAAACTATATTAAAAATCGAATTAACTTATAACTATTAAAGTTATAATAATAATTTAACTTTAATTGCAAGAATATGAAGTTGGAAAATCGATATAATCTTATTTTGTTTAATAAATTTGTTAGAGCTCTTTACACGAAAAAATTATTAAATGTTCGCTTTTCTTATAATATATAACCCACTTTTGTAACGTTTAAAATGAAGATTTCAGGAAGAATTTTTACGAATCATCGCTTAACGAATTAGAAATGATTTTACAAATTGAATTTATTTAATTAGAATTACAAATATCAGCGATTCGTTAAACGGAATTTCAAATTTTCAAACTGACCAATCAAGAAATTGGCATCGTTTTTCGTTTTAAAAAATAAACCAATTGGTACGTGACACGTTACAAAATTAATCAACCAATTAAATGAAAGTAAAAATGATTTTTAAATATTTGAATTTGTGTTTGTAGTAAATAATAAATTGATTAAATATTTAGAGAGATTTTTTTTTTTAGTTTTTAGTTAGTTTGTATGAACTTTTTAAAGTATGAGATTTGTAGGGTTTTAAATATTACTTGGATGATTTTTCTTTAAGAAATATGGATATTATATAAAGAAATTTGATGAAAGTTCTTAGAAATCACTAATTTACCATTTATTCTTATCTCATTAATATATTCCAATTTTAATTAATTGCCGAAATGTTTCGCGATAATATGCGGTATTTATGAAATCTCTAAAATCCATTTATCCCCATTAAGATAATCTTTAAGTTCCTTAAAGAGCATGAAGATTAAAGATCATTCATAAATTAGCCTATGAGAATTTCTAAAAATTTATTATATCCGAGACTTTTGGAATTTTCAAAGTCGGATTTTTTAAAATAGTTTCTCAAGGTCGATTTTTAAAATGTAAATATTACAATCGCCAAAGTCCAATTTTATAAACAGTATGTGATTTAAATCTATATATAGATGAATACCAAGAAAAAAATCACTATAATAGAAAAATACTGTTTATATTTACAAACTACAAATAATTCCAGAATCAGTCTATATATATATATATATAATTGCTTTTTTTTAAAATATTTTTTAAAATGGACCTTGAGAAATTGCTGCCATTTTTTAACCGCCGATCTTAAGAAATGGCAATTTCTGAAGGTCAACTTTTCAGAAAAATGCGATTTCTCAAAGTCGACTTTTCAAAAATTGTAGCGATTTCTCAAGGTCGACTGTTGAAAAAAGCTTTTTTTTTTTTTTTCTGAAAAGTTGACGTTGAGAAACTGCATTTAAAAATTCGAGCTTGAAAAATTGCATTTTTATACAGATTTAGTGATTATTTTTACAAAGCACAGATTTAGTGATTTGTATTATTATTTCTTTTTTTTCACAAAATAGAATTTAAGCAACTGTAGTTTTCTAAAAACACAGATAAAATGACCGTGTATATTTTAAAAAATACAGGATCTGTACTTGCATTTTCCACAAAAATAATTTATATTTTTCTGAAAACAGATAGTTAAATTTACATTTACTAAAAAAATGCTGTATTTTTTAATATAAAATATAAATTTACTGACTTTTATATTTTATAAAAAAAAAGGATCAGGCTTTTTACTAATTAATTATTACTAATGCTTTCAGGGTAAAGACAACAGAATATTGTCTGGCCGTATTGCTTACAGTCGCATTAATTGTCGTGTTTATCATATTGATTTGGAAGATTGCTTGGTGTTGCCGAAAATATCGTTTGAGGAGGAAGATCGAAATGAAATATTTAGTACTGGAGGATCATAATCCAAACGTCAGCATCGAATTTCCTTCTCAAAACTCCTATTATCGTATACTTGCCGAATGCCAAAGCAGTGATTGCGATTATCCCGAATCGTCCAAAAATATCGTCAAAGGGCAGAAGAAAAAGGGAAATATCCCTGAACTTTCACCAAATTTCCAGACGACTCCCTTCATTATGAATAAATGAACTTGATACGAATTTTCGTGTGTCTGTTTTATAAATGGAGACACACGAAAATTAAGAAGGATATTTTAATCTTACGAAGTTTCAACTATTTTTTAAAATATATTTTCTGATTATATGGATTAAAAATAGTTGTTAAATTAGTTATTTTATTAATAAATTATACAGTCAAACCTGTACAACGGCCACTGACTGAAACATAAAGAAAAAAAAAATGGCGGACGTGGTCGTGGTTGAGGGTTCGACTATTTATAAAGGGAGTTGTGCTTTATTTTTAAATATTTGTAATTAATTAATTTTAATACTAAACAGATTGTCATTTTTTTAAATTTCAAATTATTTTTCACATTAGTGTAATTGGTTAAATCTTTCGGTAACGTCGCAGCAATTTCTAACCAATCACACAAGTGTAAAGATAAATTTTGAATTTGAAATGTGACGCCGTAAAGCTGTAACCAATTATATAGCTTCAATAGGAAATTTTGAATATTTGAAAAATACGACGTCACTAAAATTTCATCCAATTACACAGCCTTAAGAATTTTTTTTTTTTCGAATATGATATTGGAGACGTTCACGACGTCACTGAAGATTCAACCAATTGTACGCGTTTACGATAAATTTTGAATATTTGAATTTTAAAACGAAAATTAAAAAAGAAAAAATACAACAAATTTTTATATATTTTTTAATAACTTTTTTTTATATCGACACCGGAGACAAATTGTAGGGAAAATATGTAACATTTTGTTTAAGAAAATAGGTAGGTAAATAAATAAAATTTTGTTTAAATAAAAATAATAATCATTTGTATAGAGAAATAAATTAAGTAGAAAGGTATGCAAGAAAATAATTCTTGTAATTCTCATTATTATTATTATTATTTAAGTCTAATTATTTTTGGCAATCAAAAATAAATCAAGAAAATCATTTAAACAACAATTTATAGGATCCAAAAACCAACTTGACTAAACACTATAATATTGTCCAAATGATATGTAGGGTTTTACTCCGAACAAATGACCTGATAACAATCTGAAAATATAGAAAGAAAAGATTAAAAAATAATTAATTTATGAGTAAAAGACCAAGAGAAAACCGTATAAAACGGAATCGAAATTGTCAATTTGGCATTTTATATTATTTCTCGATAAGAATGGAGCGGGTGTACTGCGTCTTGAATGCAGTATCACTTCGCCGCTGTAGCTAAACAATTGGAAAATTCAAAACGTTACGTCATATGATGTGTGACGTTTTTCGTGTTTTATATAATTTCAAGTTTCTTGTATAAATTTCAGAAATTTTGAATAGATTATAACGGTTTAAATGTGTAATTTTCTAATATGTAAGAACTATTTTCCTTCGTGTATTTAGACTATAAACAAAGACTTTACTATTATTCTGGGAAAACTGTTGAATGCAATTGTTAATATATAATACAGTATTTGTTGACTACTGTATTTTTATATTTCACTTTTAATTTTAAAATTTTTTTTATAAATTTTAGATTTAATGTTCAATTTGGCATGTTTTTAAATCACTTTTTACAGTATATATGTAGTACAGTACGTCCCTGCTGGATGGCTGAGGTGATAAAGGCGTCAATCATTAATCATCAATAGAGCCAGCGTCTATGGAGGATCCAGGTTCGAGTCTGGTCAGAAATTCAACCAGATATTTCGGGCACTGTTTACAATAAGTGCAGTCCCGGTTGCACTTATTGTGAGCCTTCTTGAATTTATGATGAGTTTACTCAGGCTCATAATGGGCGAAAAAGATGTGCTGTTCATAAGGTGAAAAAATGTATAACATGATATTTTACTTGAAAATGAGGATACTGAAGCTATCACATGCATTATGAGAACGATACGTTCTGAATATAGTATCTTCTCATAATTTTTCTTTTGGTCACTTTTAGTGGATTGGATTGGTAGAAGAAGGCAACGCAACACGTGGGCGATCTGCCAAGGGAGTGGTGTGCCTCCCGGGAGGATATTCTATGGGGGAAACTAGCCTTAGGTGTTAGACATGTGAAGACTCCACATGGTCAGCCCATTGGTGAAATATGAACCCACGACCAACTTCAATTGTGGTGGGCCATTTTTAGCTACTTCTTCACTTCCTGCAATAAGACTATAAACATAAATTTTTGTAACTAATGCCGTATAGTTACTGAAATATTAATACTTCATAAAGGCTAAATTAATTTATAATTAGTTATTAAAATATGCCAGGATAAACTAGAGACATTTCTTTATAGAATTCCTTCTACTTCTGTAGATTTTATTTATGATCTTAAGTAATTATTTTGATTTATAAATTATTGATCACTCAATTTATGTATAAGTTATATATTTTTAATGAAATTTTTACAGTTGAAACTATGAAAATCTTCAGCTCGATTAAAACTTTGTGAAAAAATAATCGTTCAAATGAATAGGTTCGATTCTGTGTAGTGTATTTTAGTGTTTACGGCCGTTAATCGACATTAAAAAAGCAAAAAGCATTAGAAATTATTTGACTGATAAGCACGATTGAAGAAGAAAGATCTAACCTTTAAATCTATTTATTTATAGGACATAGAATTTATTTCTTCTGTTTATTGTTAAATGTTTACGATCAGTAACCAGTAAAACACAAGCGACTGTGTCTATCGTGCGATTGTTCCTGATAAAAGATCCTTGAAACTAGGATTTAAGAGGCAATGATAAGAAGTCGACTACCAAGTCATTTTATTCACTAATTAATTGTTTCTTAAGATGCTGTTCGAAAAGATTAAGTTAGAGAAGTTTAAAATAAGAAAATTTATTTATAATGACTGCAATTTTTTAAAGGAGAAATCTTTCATAGAAGCGAATTCCGTTTTATACAAGTTTTCTTAATATTAATTTTTATATTTTAATTTTTATTAAGCCTTTTTTAAATAATTACAACAGTAAGAATAGTTTTTTTTTTTTTTAATGCTAAGATATATTAAGGTGATATACAGTGAAACCTGTGTAAACCGAATTGGTACGGTACCGATTATTTTTTCCGTTTAGGACAGGTCTTACTGTATTGTAACTTTTAGGGTGGCCATTTTGCTTTAAATTGAACCCATATATTTACATAAATCTCAAAATTAAGAAAATATGCAATGCAGTTTATACAGAGACAAAATGGCGACTCTTCGTTAAAAGTTTTAACATATTCTGAATATATTTAATGATAATTTTAAAATTTATTTACTGGGATTTTAAATGAATTGATTATCGTTAGNTTAGTAGTCATTTAAAATAGTAGACGACTACTAGCACCACGATCGGCAGTTTAAAGCGTAGCGTAAAAGAATTATTATTTATTTTTGTGAAATAAAAAAATTAAATAAACATATATAAACGCCTAGGAATTATTTTTAAGTCATTATTTCATATTATTTAGTTTAAATAGTTTTTTTTTTAATTTTTGGGGAATTACTTAGCAAATGGTGACAGCTTGTTAACATTATTGTGCTGCCATCTGTTATTAAAAATCTTTAATATAATTATACAATATAGTTAAAAATATGAAAAATTGCATTATTTATTAATATAAAAAAACCCAAAATAATATTACTTAATCTTGTTATTATTGATTTAAGTTGGAAATTGAAATTTATTCTGATCGAAGCAATGTTATTAAGGTTTTGTTAGTTTATTACTCACTGTCAATATTTGTTCATTGATGGAACGTTTTAACGACAAATTTACTTCAACTTAATCAGAATATTGAGGTAAGGAGTAAATAGCCTTGAAGATAATATTGCCATTTCACTGCTAATAAATTTTATAAATTTCAAAAAATAATTATAAATCCGATTAAAATTTAATAATTCGAATTTCATTTCCTCAGATTAATTATTGTTAAACTGAAAATAAAATACGAAAATTATAAAATGTAAATTAGCGAAAGACGTCAAGGAGGGGAAAAAAAGAAATAACCAATCAGAGGCGAATGTTTAAATTTTTGAATTTTAAATTTATTTGACGCAACCAATTAGAGTTATGAAATTGACGTTTAAGCGTGTCACGTGTTTATATATTTAAATTTATTATTTTTTTTTTCTGATTTGAAATTCTCATTTATACGTTTATAGATTATAATTATATAAAATAATTAATTATCAAAGAAATTTATTTAGTTTTACTTTAAAAATATCACAAATAAATAAATAAATATTAATATTTAAAATTTTTATAAATTATAATTTTTAACGTCCTCATCATCCTAACCCCCCATCGTGGTCCTGGCCAAACCCACGAAGAGCCTTCCTCTTAATGCCCGTAGGCATTAAGAAGAAAGGCCCTTTTAATGCCTACAGGTTGGAGTTTAATTACTATTTATAAAAGTATTTTTTAAGTACATAAATAGGGGCATTTTTATATTTTGTAAGGAAATTTATTTTGAAAAAAATAAATAATTTAAAATTTAAAAAAATATTTCTGATTTTATATTTTTATAGCATAGAAATAGAATTGTTTCGCAAAAGCCAAACACAGTTATATAAATAAATTCCTATTATTTTATCTAATAATTTTTCCGGTTATCAGAAGGGGGGAAACGAATTTATATCGGTTGTTATTTATTTTGCTGTATTTAAAAAAAAATAGGCAGAAATTATATTCATTTATATACGATCAAAGTACATGTATTTCTATTGTACTGTGGAGTTAGCCAGCCATCTTTGTATATGAGAACCGACCACCTGTAGTGACAACACGTGACCTTCATCTGTTTAGTTTGATGCCATAAGCTGCTGACTCACAAAATGGACTTATTCTGGTGAGTAAATGTGACTTTTTAATGTATATCTACTACAAAAATTTTTTTTTTAAACTCTTTGAAATATATTTTATTATTAGCTACAACGTTGTATATCAGTATACCTTATCGAAATTCATAACTATCGATGAAACTTTTTAAACTTTATATGGAACTTTATAATTCTGATTTTTAACGTTAAAATGCGTACAAAATTCTAGAATTTATGCTCCATTTAATTTAATTGTTCCACGCATAAAAAATAATAATAAATAAAGATTTATCGAACGTGTAGTGTTGTGTGTAGAAGTGCTTTTTGAGGGTTTTACCGGGTTTTTAGGTAGTAATTTAGTATGGCATATTGTTTCCTTTCTGGATCCGCTAGTGTCTAATTATAATTATTTTAACATAATTTATCAATTATTCTTTAGTATAAAGTTATGTAATGCTGTTAAACGTGTGTCTCATGGTTACAAATGCATGTATGTGCATAAACACGTGGAGCATTATACCTTGTTTACGTGGATGAGAATCCGTGAATAGAAATTATCTCCATATTGTGCAGTTATATTTTGTCATGCCATTCACTGTAAACTAAATAATAATAATAATATATTCCAACGTGAGAATTTATTCCTTGACGTGACTTTGTAAGTTAAAAATTCATTTTTATTGTTTATTTTTTGAAAAATAAAATTTGTATTTTCTATTCTTCTACATTTTTTTTATAATGGTATTTTTACAATAATCATTTGTTTTATTGTTCCAAAGTAATTAAATTACAATCAACAACTGGACGAAATACCACGAATAAATATAAAACGCCATTGTTTATAATACACGAGGTTATAAATAGAAACGTGTGCATATTTTTGTATTTTTATATAATTTTATTGTACAATTATATTAAAATTTATTAATTATAATTGCCGTTTTGCTGTTGGAGTGAACAGGCACTGATGAGATGGGTCCAGCTGCAGCTGTTTAGGGGGAAGGGACAGTGGGACTCCCAAAATTAATTTTTTTTTTAAATGAAGATATACGATATACAGAGGCGAGTTTATAGCTTCATGGGGTCCACAAAAATTTGAATTAGGGACTTCCAGACTTCAGTTTTGCTTCTGTGTAAGAAAAATATTTACCAAAAAATTTCAAACGATTGGTTTGGGACCCCTGTTGTTAGGGACCTCAGGCAATTAATTGCTTATTTTGCCCGTAGGATAACGCTGGCACTGACGACATAAACGTGATATAAAGAGGGATGGAGCCGC